TTTTTTTCTAATAACAATAGATTCGTATAATAATAAATAAGGAAATAAAATTTTCTAATAATGTCAATAGATATAACAAAATCTTTCAGACATTTTTTCTAAATTTTTTTTCTAATAAAATTTTCTGATTTATTTTTTTAATAATGCCAATAGATCGCTATAGATCTTTCTTTAAATTTTTTTTTTCTAATAATAGGTATAATACGTGAGATAATATTGTATAAATAAAATTTTCCAATTTTTTTTTTTATAATAATGCTAATAGATCGTTATAGATATAATAGAATATTTCAAAAATTTTTTCTAAATTTTTTTTTCTAATAACAATAGATCGTATAATAATAAATAAGGCAGATATTGTATAAATAAAACTTTTCAATTTTTTTTAATAATAACAATAGATTGTTATGGATCTTTCGGGATTTTTTTTTTAAATTTTTTTTTTTCAATAAACCTAACAAAATCTTACAGAAATTTTTTTTTTAATTTTTTTTTCTAATAATAACAATAAGTTGTATAATACATATAACTGATATTGTATAAATAAAATTCTCTGATTTTTTTTTTTTAATAATGCCAATAGATAAATATAATAAAATCTTTCAGAATTTTTTTTAAAAATTTTTTTTTTTATAATACATAGGACAGATATTGTGTAAATAAAATTTTCTGATTTTTTTTTAATAATGCCAATAGTTCATTAAAGATCTTTCAGAATTTTTTTTTAAAATTTTTTTCTAATCGTAACAATAGATTGGTATACATGTATAAACAAAATTTTCCAATAGATCGCTATAGATATAACAAAATCTGAATTTTTTTAAAAGTTTTTTTATTTTCTAATGATAACAGTCGATATAATACATAAGACAGATATTTCATAAATAAAATTTTTTGATTTATTTTTTAATAATATTAATAGATCACTATAGATCTTTTTTTAAATTTTTTTTCTAATGATTGTATAATATATAAGACAAATATTGTATCATAAATAAAATTTTCCAATTTTTTTTTAATGCCAATAGATATAACAAAATCTTATGGAAATTTTTTTTACCTTTTTTTAATAATAAAAATAATGTATATTAGAAACTGATAATTTATATCTCATTGGCCTCATCTTGCTTAAGGGTGATAATATCATAAAAATTGAATTCTTATTGGCTGAGATATTTCAATTTGAAGTTTTAACGACAAATGTGATATATCACGTGACCGATAATATGTAACAACTGGTGTAGAAATTCAATGATCATCCAGGGTAAAATTTGCATCCAGGGTAAATGTTCAAAAATCCCGGGTGATCACCCTGGATGCATCCAGGGTAAATCCTGGATTTTTGAACAGTACGGCGTTTGATGATCCAGGGTAAATCCTGGATACATCCCGGGTAGCTACCCTGGATGCATCCAGGGTGAACACCCTGGATTTTTGATCAGTACGGCGCGTCATAGGATATGGGAGGGGAGGGGATGGGAGGGGATGGGAGGGGATTTTAAATGGGCGGCAAGTATAGTACGAGTGGAGTAGTAGCACTAATGTAGTACCAGTTTGTTATGTAACAAATGTGCAATTTAAATTTCGCCGATCATTAACTTATAAACGTCAAATTCTTTATACTCCAAGACTAAAAAAGCAAAGTATAAAATATTCTTAGTAATGTCTGACATTAAGAAATCAAGTGATTGCATCGATTGGTTAGAAAAATCGATTGCTAACGAATATTTCAATTATTATGAATATTCGGAATTCAATAATTTATGTCCGATAGGAAGTGGTTCATATGGAATTGTGGTTCGTGCTAATTGGAAAAATACTGAAAATCTTTTTGCTTTAAAAACTTTCAATCTTGATAAAACTACGCTAAAAGAAGTTATTAATGAGGTATACAATTTATAAAAAGACTTAAAATTTATATGAATTTTTAATTAAATATTCAACTTCTTACATAGATAAAATTACAAAAAAGAGTGGATTTTCATGAAAATATTTTAGGACTCTGTGGCATTACGAGAATAGAAGCTGGTAAGCTTTAGTATATAATATATTTTTAAATGTTATTTTTTTATTAATACGGTATTTCGATATAATCATCACTTTTGTACGTAAATATTCAGAGAAAAAATATTCCCTAGTTTTGGAATACGCCGATGGTGGTACATTAAAAACTTACTTAAATAACCACTTTAATGAACTTAATTGGGATGATAAATTTCAATTAGCATTCCAATTAGCAAGTGCTGTAGAATATATTCATAATTATGATATTATTCATCGTGATTTGGTAATGTATCAGATTTTTTTAAATTATTCGATTTGATTTATAAGATAATTCAAAATTAATGTAAGCTTTTATTCAATTAAAGCATGCAAGCAACATACTTATACGTCAGAAAAGTATTAAGATAGCAGATTTTGGACTATCAAAAAAAATTGCTGAATCAAGCAACATGTCAGGAATGTTTGGTGTTGTGCCATATGTGGACCCAAAAAGTTTTAATAATAAAAAATATAATAATTGTAATGAAGGTGATGAAAATTATAAGTTAAATAAAAAATCTGATGTATATAGTGTAGGAGTTTTGATATGGCAAATCTCAAGTGGTCGTCGACCATTTTATGCAGAGAATGTGGAATATGATATAAGTTTGGTCTTAGCTATACAAGGGGGAGCGCGAGAGAAAATTATTGAAGGAACTCCTATTAAATATAGTGATCTATATACAGGTAATTATAGTTTTTTATTTTTTTATAAATGTCAATTAATAAATGTCAATTAATAATAATATTAATTTATCTATACATTTTAATAAGAATGTTGGAAACATGAGCCAAATGAACGTCCAAATATAAAAGATGTTGTTTTAATTCTTAAGTCATTAACTTTTCCTGATCAATATCATGTAGTTAATAACTATAACGATATTATTGAGGAAAGAGAAAATACTAGTTTATTACAAAAATCTTTGGATATAAATGATGATTTGATACTGGACGATATATTAAATAATATAAGTAATTATGAAAATAGTTCTATCTTACAAGATCAATCATCCATTAAATCAAGTATAGTGGATCTGCTTATTCAAACACAATCAAGAAATTCATTTGATTCAACATTTAAAAATAATATCAATCATATGATTGTTGATGAATTAATTGCAGTTATTATTAAAAAGCATGATGCAGGTCATACTTTTGATCAAATTCAAGAATTAATTAATCAAAAAATACTACAATTAAATCAAATTACAAATAATCTTGTGAACTGGCTTACAGAAAATCAGGATAAACCAAAATATATTTGGTTTTTTGGATTATTTTATTATTATGATATTGGAATAGAAGAAAATAATAGCATTAAGGTATTTGAATTATTTTTAAAAGCTGCAGATGATAATTATTCAATAGCTCAAGTTTATCTTGCTAAATGTTATAATGATGGATATGGAACTGAACAAAATAAAGATTTAGCATTCAAGTGGTATCAAAAAGCTGCAGAAAATGAAAGTATTATAGGACAATTTTATTTAGGATATTGTTATGAATTTAATATTAGTACTGAGAATAATAATAATAAATTTATTGAATGGTATCAAAAAGCAGCCAACAATGGAAATACAACTGCAAAGCTTTATCTTGCAAATTGTTATAGATTAGGAAAAGGAATAGAAAAAGATGAATCTAAAGCATTGAAGTATTACACAATATTATCAGAAAAAGAAATTACAGATGCTCAAATTCAACTTGGAAATTGTTTTTATTATGGAGTTGGAATAAATATTATCGATAAATTTCAAGCTTGTTACTGGTATGAGAAAGCAGCCAGTAATGGAAATATCATTGCAAAACATATTCTTGAACAAAATTATAATAAAAAATCTATTAAAAAAAATAAAAATATAGAAATTAAGATTCATAAAACAATATATTTTGAAAGACTAAGGCAAATTGGAATGAATAATTATAATGGAGAAAAGTTTAAAAAAGCAATTTATTACTTTCAAAAGGCGGCAGAAAATGGAAATAAACTTGCACAATATAATTTAGGTAATTGTTATAGAAATGGTAAAGGAGTAGAAACAAATATAAGAACTTCTTTTAAATTATATCAAAAATCAGCCGAACAAGGTTATAAAGATGCACTATTTCAACTTGGAGATTTTTATGATAAAGGGATTGGAATTGATATTAATAAAGTAACAGCATTTGAATTATATAAGATTGCCGCTAAAAAAGAACACAACGTTGCACAATGCAATCTTGGAATTTTATATGAAAATGGGGAAGTTACAGAAAAAAATCTAGAGAAAGCTTTTTATTGGTACAAAAAAGCAACAGATAGTGGATATGAAGTAGCACAATACAATTTAGGTCAATGTTATAAGGATGGTAAAGGAGTAGAACAAAATAAAAGAAAAGCCTTTAAATTATTTCAAAAATCAGCTGAACAAGGATATATAAATGCACAATATGAACTTGGACTTTGTTACAAATTTGGAATTGGAACTGAAGTAAATAAAACAAAAGCATTCGAATTATATAAAATAACAGCCGAAAAAGGACAAACTAATGCACAGAATGAGCTTGGAATGTTTTATGAAATCGGGGATTGCACAGAAACAGATTTGGAAAAAGCTGTTTTTTGGTATAATAAAGCAGCAGTAAATGGTGATAAATCTGCACAATATAATTTAGGTCAATGTTATAGACTTGGAAAAGGAGTTGATAAGGATAATGGTATAGCTTTTGAATATTATAAAAAATCAGCCGATCAAGAGTATACAGATGCACAATTACTACTTGGATATTGTTATATTCAAGGTATTGGTACAATGGCAAATATTACAAAAGCATGTGAATTATTTAAAATAATTGCAGAAAATGGCGATAAAATAGCACAATATATTTTGGGTCAATGTTATAGACTTGGAAAAGGAGTTGAAAAGGATAATGGTAAAGCTTTTGAATATTATAAAAAATCGGCTGATCAAGAGTATACAGATGCACAATATGAACTCGGACGTTGTTATTATTCTGGAATTGGAATTGAAGTAAATAAGACAAAAGCATTTGAATTATATAAAATAACAGCCGAAAAAGGACAAACTGATACACAGAATGAGCTTGGAATGTTTTATGAAATCGGGGAGGGCACAGAAATTGATTTGGAAAAAGCCGTTTATTGGTATAATAAAGCAGCAGAAAATGGAAATAAATCTGCACAATATAATTTAGGTCAATGTTATAGACTTGGAAAAGGAGTTGAAAAGGATAATGATAAAGCTTTTGAATATTATAAAAAATCGGCTGATCAAGAGTATACAGATGCACAATATGAACTTGGAGAATGTTATTATTCCGGAATTGGAATTGAAGTAAATAAAACAAAAGCATTTGAATTATATAAAATTGCAGCCAAAAAAGGACAAAATAATGCACAGAATGAGCTTGGAATATTTTATGAAATCGGGGATGGCACAGAAACAGATTTGGAAAAAGCTGTTTATTGGTATAATAAAGCAGCAGTAAATGGTAATAAATCTGCACAATATAATTTAGGTCAATGTTATAGACTTGGAAAAGGAGTTGATAAGGATAATGTTAAAGCTTTTGAATTATATAAAATTGCAGGCGATAAAGGACAAACTAATGCACAGAATGCGCTTGGAACAATTTATGAAATCGGGGATGGCACAGAAACAGATTTGGAAAAAGCTGTTTATTGGTATAATAAAGCAGCAGAAAATGGAAATAAATTTGCACAATTTAATTTAGGTCAATGTTATAGACTCAGAAAAGGAGTTGAAAAGAATAATGGTAAAGCTTTTGATTATTATAAAAAATCAGCCGATCAAGAGTATACAGATGCACAATATGAACTTGGACGTTGTTATAGATTTGGAATTGGAATTGAAGTAAATAAAACAAAAGCATTTGAATTATATAAAATTGCAGCCAAAAAAGGACAAACTAATGCACAGAATGAGCTTGGAATATCTTATGAAAATGGGGATGGCACAAAAACAGATTTGGAAAAAGCTGTTTATTGGTATAATAAAGCAGCAGAAAATGGAAATAAATCTGCACAATATAATTTAGGTCAATGTTATAGACTTGGAAAAGGAGTTGAAAAGGATAATGGTAAAGCTTTTGAATATTATAAAAAGTCAGCTAATCAAGAGTATTTAGATGCTTACTTTCAACTTGGATATTGTTATGATCTAGGGATTGGAACAGAAATAAACGTTATAAAAGCATATGAATTATATAAAATTGTGGCAGAAAATGGTAATAAAGTAGCACAATATAATTTAGGCCTATATTATAGACTTGGAAATGGAATCAAAAAAGATCATGTTAAAGCTTTTGAATATTGTAAAAAATCAGCCGATCAAGAATACTTAGAAGCACTACTTCTACTTGGATATTATTATGATAAAGGAATTGGAGTTGAAATTGACAAAGTAAAAGCTTCTGAACTATATAAAAAGGTATTTGAATTACATAAAATTGAAGCTGAAAATGGAAATAGCGAAGTACAATTGAGCTTTGGTCGTTTATATTATTTTGGTTGCAGTACGGAGATGGATTATAAGAGAGCTATATACTGGTTTAACAAAGCAGCAGAAAATGGTCATGAAATAGCACAGTTTAACATATCTGTTTTCTATATGCATGGAATATATGTCAAAAAAAATGAAATTAAAGCTTTTGAATATTGCAAAAAATCAGCTGAAAAAGGATATTTAGGTGCCCAATTGAACCTTGGATATCATTATTATAAAGGTATTGGGACCGAAGTTGACAAAGCAAAAGCAAATGAGATATATAAAAAATTGTTTGAATTGTGTATAAAAGCAGTTGATAGTAGAGATGATACCATAGAATGTTTCTTGGGACACCTATATCGTGATGGTTATGGAACAAAAAAAGATTTAGATAAATCCATTTATTGGTATCAAAAAGCTGCAGAAAATGATAGTTCAAATGCACAATATGAATTAGGAAAATGTTACGAATTAGGAATTGGCGTAAATAAGGATGAATTTAAGGCTTTTGAATTTTACAAAAAATCAGTTGAAAATAGATTTCCGGAAGCAAAGTTTATACTTGGATATTATTATATAAATGGTATTGGGACTGAAATTAATAAAGAAAAGGGATTTGAACTATATAACGAAGCGGCTGGTAAAGAAAACAGTAGAACTATACAGTATTACCTTAATAATGATAATGATGAGTTAATAAATAATTTAGATGAAATCAGTAAAATTAATTATTGGTACCACAAAGCTGCAGAATATGACAATAAATATGCATTATATAAATTAGGTGAGTGTTATGAATTAGGAAAAGGCGTTGGTTTTGATGAAAGGAGGGCATTTGAGTTTTATAAAAAATCTGCTGATCAAGGATTTATAGATGCTCAATATAAAATTGGATATTTATATAATTATGGGGAAGAAGTTGAAATTAATGAAGAAAAGGCATTTAAATATTATAGAATGGCTGCAAAAGGAGGAAATATTAATGCTCAATTAAGCCTTGCATCCTTTTATGAAAAAGGTAAAGGAATTGAAACAAATATAGAAAATGCTAATTATTGGTATAAAAAAGCTATAGAAAATGGATGTCAAGAAGTTGAAAAAAGCTTAAATTCATTACTATATAATATTCATAAATAATAAAAATATCCAACTTTAGTAGAAGTCAATAATAAATTAGCTCCCTCTTCTTAAAATATATATTATTTTATGTAATCAACTTATTCATTAATTTTGCTTATTATAATAAATCTGAATGCAGAATATAATAAATATAATACCAGAATTCTATTTAATGCAATCTCTACTTTGACATTGAAATGATCAATTTAAGGACTAAATAATTTACAAGTACTACAGTAATTTATATCGCTTACCAAATTTACTGAATTAAAAAAATAAATTTACATTATCTTCAAACTTTTGTATATGTTAGTTGTTACATAAATGGTAAGTTTGTAAAATAAATGGTTTTCTTAAATTGTCTATTATTCCTACTCTTCAGCGATTTATCTGTGGCTGGTCCAAGTAATCTCTTTGATGAAGCAATCATACAGTGTTGACCGTCCAATTTCGCCATTTTCGGTCAGCTGCTTGATATCTCTGTGACGAACATGAAGGAGGACCTTTACTCGGCAGAATTCCTCCCATTGAGATTCTCGACGTAACATC